GCCTGCACAGAGCCCTGACCTCAAACCGACAGAACACTTTTGGGATGAATTAGAGCGGAGACTGAGAGCCAGGCCTTCTCGTCCAACATCAGTGCCTGACCTCATAAATGCTCTTCTGGAAGAATAGCCAAAAATTCTTATAAACACACTCCCAAACCTTGTGAACTGCCTTCCCAGAAGAACTGAAGCTGTCATAGTTGCAAAGGGTGGGCCAACTCCATATTAATGCCTATGTATTAAGAATGGGATGTCAAAGTTGATGTGTGTGTAAAGGTAGGTGTCCCAATACTTTTGACAATATAGTGTATACAGCTCTGGAAAACATTAAGAGACCACTCATTTCTCAATTTGTGGGTATGCGTCTGGGTAAAACATACATTTCTTCTTTTTTTTTTTTGCAAACTGCAGCCTGGTTCTCCTCTGTTACTCATGGATGAAAGGGCTTCCGACTTGATTTACGGGACTTCAGTCCTGCTTCTAGGAGTCTGTTACCACTTAATGTTTCCCATTGTTTTTGAAGGTCACTTGATGTCATCCTCCAATTCACGAGGCATTGTCGGATAAGTTGACGGTCATCTCTGCCATTAGAAAGTCGCTTCCGTCCTCTACCTGGCTGGTTTTTGATGGTTTCCGGTGTCTCCTGTTTCACCTTGTTGTTGTGCTCTGCAGTCTTAGAAATTTTCAGCCTGGAAGCAACCTGCCGCTCAGTGTCGCCTTTTGCCAGGAGAACCAGGATTAAACCAAGATTCAAAAAATGTAGTTTCTTTAAGAATATGGAGTTCTCATTTTCGTCTAGAGCTGAAGTCCACCTACATGTCTGTCATGGACAGCAAGAATGGGTAGGCTAACAGAGAATTTCCCCATGGAGATCAATAAAGTGCCATTATTATTATTTGTTGTTTACTACTACTACTACGTACTACTACTACGTACTACTACTACTACTACGTACTACTACTACTACTACTATTATTATTATTATTATTATTATTATTATTAATAGCAATAATCATATAAAATAAAAAAGCAATAATAATGGTACATTATACATGAAATAAGCATTGTGTGCTAAAGCTTCCCTCAGAGCCGCTGCACATTTTGGCATGTTGGCATATCATTTTTCTTATGCCTTACACAAATATACCAAATTATGCACCATCTTTACATATACAACATGCAGTTATGTGATTACTTAAAATTTTCACTGATGAAAATTTTTGTTGTAATACTTCAGTTATTTATCTGAAGAAATACTCAACCTAGGATTCAAAAGCCTAAATATTGGTGCACATATCAAACTAAGGACAAGAACACGGACAAACGCGAAATGAAAACGCAAAAAAACGCATGTGACAAAAAATGCAGTACAACGCGTTACACGTTTCATTGTGTATTTTGGCTTCCCTAGTGTGAACATACCCTTACACTCATGCAGATTGTGAGCTCAGTTTCTGAAACACCACACAGTATTCATGATGCAGTCCATCTACAAGCAGTTACAGCATCCTGAAGGAAATCTAAGTATGTCCCTCTAATGAAAATCAGAAAGAAAAGCAGGTATTTGTAGGCCGATATCGTGACCGGTTACCATTTGCAATAACTTCAGTCTCAAAATGTGATTAGAATGCTCCGCTGTCACCTGGACTAGAAACTGGAATTTCAATTTCAAATTAAAACATGCATTTCAATTCTGAATGCTTAAAAACATTTAACAGAAAAATATATATATATAGATATATATATATATGCTACTAGACTGCCGAAGGCCATTAAAATTCATTCTTTCAACAAGATTCAAAAGAAGAATCATAAATCGTCCAGTTCTGGCAAATGTTAAATCATTGTATATGCCAAACTATGGCTTAGGCTAATAATCCATTCAATGGTCACAAAAATAATAATTAAAACGGTATGCCGGCAGTGCAGGTTTCTGCATCCCAAAAACACAGGATTTTCTATTTGCAATCTTTAAATTGCCTGTGGTGTGTATGCATCCTGCAATGGACTGGCATCCTGACCAGAATATATCCCTGTCTTGGCCCTGAGGTACCTGGGATAGATGCCAGGGCTCCCTGTTACCTTGTCTAGGATAAACGATAGGAAGCCTGACGGATGGACAATGAGCACAAACATGCTCATGCAGAGCCACTACAGCTCCTGACTTCTAAAAATTAAAGCGTGATGTGCAAAGTATCTGGTGCCTTATATATATATACACACATATTTTTTTTTGCTACTTTACTATTATTTCAACTCCATTAGCCATAAATCACAAGCAACCAGCTCCATCAGTAACCAGAGTTAATGGCTTCCTGTCAGTCAAGCTTTTTGCATGAGAAACTTGAGTGCCATTCTGACAAGTTATTACTCTACACTTTAACGAAATGTTATAATACATCACAGATGTGTTATGGCTAATGTGTGCCCTCAGTGCTAAGCCACACCAGGCAATAATCAGTGTATACACAAGTAGATATTGATGTAATTCCCACATTGCTAACAAAACCTCTCCTTTGTAAAAGATGATTACAGAATGAGCC